TGGCTCCGGTTGATGTGAAGGAGCAGCGACTCTCCTCTGAGCTCCTCACCTGCAAGGACAAATCTTTTTAAGGTGTTTTAAATTTTGAAATTCCTATTTCAAGACTGAGCAATTTTCATTGCAAGATGTCAAGCAAAGCAGTTCATAGGGAGTTTGCTGTTGCTGTTGTTTGTTTCAGGAGTCTTTACAAAAATACGACGATTTCTGGCTACACTGGAAAACTTGGGCACGATCTTACCTCCCTGAAGCATCCTGTTCAGGTCTTAGCTGATCAACTGCAGGTTTCCCCCTTCGTTCAGGATCAAACTCTGGTTCACAGGCTGCCATATGAGGTCTGACATCTCCAGCTACAGCCATTAGGTACTATAAAGATGCTGCCTAAGGAAATGTGCATTATTCATCAGGTCGTATGGAGGTGTGGCCCCAAGTTCACCTTCAGGCAGTCAAAGTAGGTTCATGTTCATGAATTATACACATTTTCAGTAAAAAGCTCCAGAAACTAGACTTTCCTGCTTTTCTATACATCCTTCAATTAGCAGCGTGCACACGTGCACATGTTCCATGATGATGACCTCCTAATAGCAAACAGAAGAGCTGCTAGTCAACATTAATAGTCAATAAGGTAAAACGGTGTGGACAGCTTCTTAACGAGGACGGGACCAATGATGTGGAATAGAAAAATATATAGTTGTTCCAACAGGAAATGGAACTTGGACTCGATGAAGATGGATCAGCACATGTGGTCAGAACTTCAGCAGACAGAAGATGTTACTGAGCACAAAAAGTTAAAAACAACACAGAATTATTAGGACTCGTAATCACAGTTAACAATAAAACACAATTAAAAGAGCAAAAAAAAATTAACAAATAAACAAATGATTATATTTATTAAAGCTGTTTTTAATTTTTTGCCAAATCTATAGGACATACATCATGACATACATATGGTGCATGACAAGAGCATCTGATTTGCTTTTCCAGAACATGTGCAGAAATGAGCAGAGGACTCTCCATGGATTCCTGCAGACATATGTGGACACGAAATGTGCATTTGCAAACTGTAATCTGGATTTTTTATGTTGCTTTTGGAGCAATGTCTTCATCCTCTCTGAGTAGCCTTTCAGCCCATGTTGGTACAGGACTGGTTTCACTGTGGATAATGACTCTCTGACCAGCTTCAGCATCATCTTCACAAGGTCTTTACTTTTGTTCTGGGGTTGACACGCACATTTCACATCAAACACTTCATCTCTGGGACACAGAACCCGTCTCCTTCCTGAGTGGTATGATGGCTGGACATTCCCATGGTGTTTAAATTTGCATATAATTGTTTGAACAGATGAACGTGGAACCGTCAGGCATCTGGAAATTGTACCCAAGGATGAACCAGACTTGTGGAGGTCCACAATTGTCTGCCTGATATCTTGTCTGATTTCTTTCATTTTCCCACATTGTCACTGAAGGAAGCAGTGTGTTTGAAGTGTGGATTAAAATACATCCACAGGTGTGCCTCCAATTCACTCAAATGTTGTCAATTATCCTATCAAAAGCTTCCAAATTCATGACATCATCATCTGGGCTTTCCCAAGTAGATTGAAGACACAGTAATCTTAGTATATGCAAACTTCTGACTTTGAAGAAAGTAATACAAAATTCTCTAAAAAAATTCTCTCTCTCATTATTCTGACATTTGGCAAATATAAATAATTTTCGTAATCCTAACTGACCTAAAACATGAAAAGTTTAGTCACATTTAATGTCAGACAGTAAGAAAAAAAAAAAAGGTTATGTGTCTTTTTATACAGTGTCTGTAAACTTCTGGTTTCAACTGTATGTGGATAAAATTTCCGTCACACATGGGAAATGTAAATTTGATTAACTTTGATTAAACTCCTTTGCACACAGGGGAAGCTGAAGACACAATGGGCACATAAATATTGGTGTAAAGGCCAACTCATCTGCACAAGTCCGCAAGACCGATCCCTCTGCAGATCCCAAATGTGCGACCATGCAGACTGCAAGTGCACCAACTGCACATGTGCAAGAAAAAAAAAAGGTGCTTAGAACAGTGTGTGAGGAGATTCTCCATCATCAACACCTTTATAACTCATCTTTAAAAGAGGTGTAATCGAAGCAGTGGCTGCCTGACTTTGGAGGTGCTTTGTTTTCCACGTTTTCTGTTGACGATGCCCAAAACCAGTGGTGTGGTCCAAAATCCTGTGCTTTGTCAGCCCACTGTGCTCAGCATCCCTCAGGAATAATAACTGACACTGTGCTACAGTCCAATCTGTTACCAGCTGCTGTATCCTGTAAAAAGTACAAAGTCACAGCCAATTTTTTGTGTGTGTGTGCTATGAAGACAGTCTGTTCGTCTGTGCTGTAGACCAACGTGTACCTGTTGCAGTATGAGCACAGCTGTGCACATGTCTGCTGATCACTTCCAAAGTCCAAAGTAGCGTTGTACTTTTGTGCTCACTTGGAGCCTGCTGGGTGGATTCTGTTCTATACGTGCACAGCTGAGCTTACAACACATATTCTGAACGTTCACGTGACTGTTCTTGAAGCATAGTTTCTGCATGGACACAAATTTTAGGTTGCATGTGAGCAGATCGGTCTGTACAGGCTCTTGTGGACTTTGAGAATTTACTTCACGTGGACCCTAGTGGACACGTGTGTGCTTGTTGTAGTAGGTTACAGTATGACATGAGCCTTTATATATATAGATGACTACATTTATGTCACATGGCCCTTCGTGTAGCTGAGTACGTGGAAAATATAACACTTTCCTGATGCCCTCTTATGGATATGGATAGCTGTGGACACGACAGGTGAATAGTTGTTTAAAATATGACTTTATTGTCCATTGGGAGTTCACTGGAAGGCCTCAGCTCCATACACGAGCTGTGGATCAACAAATGTGTAATCCATACATGCACACTGCTGCTGAGCTGCACACAAAACCTCTACGCATGATCGTCCCGTGAACTGTCTAGGGAAATGTTGGGCTTCATGCAGACTTAGGCAAATGATGACATTTTCGTATGGCAGTCCACAGCAGACCTCATAGATACTTGCTGTGTCCACCACACGGCAGCCTAGAATTTGTGTCTATGTAGTCCACTGTACAAGGGCAGTCGTGTGCATGTTTGACAGTCGTGTGCATGTTCAGAAAATGTATTTTAAGCTCAACTGTGCATGTATGGAGCACAGTCTACCCAGCAGGTTCTAAGTAACATTTAGATGCTGACATTTATGGAATGGGATTTCTGAGCGGACTTTCAGTAGATCACAAAGTAGTATAAAGCCTCTGTTACATGTGTTTGCAAATACATGAGGGTCTGTGAAAGTATGCATGACATAAAAACCAATATCTACCCAAATCCACGAGTGCAGACCCATGTTCATCACAAAATTAGTGTCTGCATAGAGACGATGCTGCAAGTGGCAACAGTGCACATGGTTGGAATATGTGCATGTATGCAATCCTTTAAGCAGATTCCTGTGCACTAGAAAGTAGTATATTTATGACAACTATGACAACAGTGTTCACAACTGTCCATGTGTGCATCTGCAAGGGAGTATAATCAAGGCTTAATAATGGTCTTTTAGTAAATAAAAGAACTCTTTGTACATGTATTTGATGACAAAGGTGCGTAGGAGAGGAACAAACATACAAAAGTGTCTAAAAAAATGTCTGACTTGCAAAAATACATTCTTATGTGTGTCTGCAGGGTTAGACATCAGAGCACGGCAGCCTCACATGGAAATGTAGTTTTGCAAGTTAGACAGTTGTAAGTTAGTGTGTGGGAGTCTTTTTGACATTTGTGCTGTCTAACTAGCAAAAATACATTTGAAATGTTGGGATGTCTTTGCAAGTGAGACAGACAGGTGTTGTCTGTATACGTGTCTGTTTGGTAAATGCATGTAAATGTATTTTTGCAAGCTGGTGTGCAAGAGTCTTTTTGAAACTTGCTCTGAATACATTTGAAACGTCACAAATAAACATATTTTTAGAAGTTAGACAGCTATGCACTGTACGTATGCACTGTTGGCAAGGGTCAGACATGTTTGGAGCACCAACATGGATTGTTGCAAGTTAGACAGTATGTGGGAGCCTTTCTCTAAAATTTGCAATGTCCAAGTTGCAAAAACTTTGAAAAATTTTTGCAAACCTTTTGCATAATAGACAGTTTGACGTTCATGTTTGCAAGGGTTCAATGTTTGCAGAACATCGACGCATTGCAAATAACAGTATTGTTGCATGTTAAGCAGTATGTGATGGTCGTTTTGAAATGAACATACAAAAATACACTTGAAATGCCGCAAATAAATGTATTTTTGCAAGTTCAACAGTTAGACATTGTCCGTATGCGTTTCTGCAAGACTTTCTCGAGCACTGAAACACTGCAAAATAAATGTATTTTTCCAAGTTAGTTAGTGTTGCTGTTTGAAACTCGTGAATAAATGATCACAGATATGTTTTAACTAAATGAAGGGCCCTGATACCAGATCTTTCATCTGTTATTACACTGAAGCCTCTTTGTTCTTCAGGTGGGCTCTGATATAAACCTTTAGTTCCAGTGGCTGGGTTCGGATCCGGGGCCTTTCTCTGGTCAGATTGTTGAGCTACAGGTGGTGACTCAGCTCCAAATCGCTGTGAAATCTCTTTAATGCGGCTCGGTCAGATGTGGACAGAGGAGGCTCTGAATGGGCCTGACTGAGTGTGTGTCCGCTTGTGTTAGAGCTTGAATAAGTGTGATTGGCTCCCGGTGTGAGTCTTTGTGTTGCCAAACTGTGCAGAAAGAGCGAGAGAGCGAGAGAGAGAAAGGGGGCGGAGCTAAGACCGGGGGCGGCTGCTCCTTATTGGCTGAGCCGGTGTGAAGGGGGCGGACCTCGCCGTGCTGATGGAGGGGGTCGGTGCTGCTGCAGACCGCCTCATTTTTCCGGAGGAGCTGAGCGGAGACACAACCGACCGGCTCATGAATGAACCGCACACCGACGGATCTTGACAGCCGCAGCGTCTTTCGCTCTCCCAGCCCAGGCAGGGCGCACCGTCCCCGGGCTTGAACTCTGCGCCTCTTCCTCCGGAGCTCCGCAGCGTCTCTCGGTGCTTCTCTGTATGTTTGTGAGCGCGTGAGGACAGTTTTTTTTTTTTCTTTTCTTTTTTTTCTTCTTTCTTTTTGCGGGGCTGTTGATGTGAGCGCACCTTCTGGATTGGACACAATGCCTCCTCCTCCTGCTTCTTCTTCTTCTTCTTCTTGTGCAGAGCTTTTCCTCTGACTCTGGATGGATTTCTGATGGTTTACTGACCCGCTGGATTAGGAGATGGAGTGATGCGCTGCTGGGAACTACAGTGGAAGTAACAGCCGTCAGAACTGCACACAGGTGAGGCACATTTCCACTGTTGGAAGCCTCAGATGTGACTGAACAGAAAGCATTGTGTTTTGGGTTGTGTGCATGTCCCAGATCATGTGTGTGTGTGTGTGTGTGTGCAGGTCAGCTCCATGTGACCTGTTCGTTGGATAATTGAGCCACATTCTTATCCGCTGAGCCAGAAAACCCCCCTCCTCCTTCTCCCACCTCCTCCACATGCTTTGCAGTCTAAATAAGTCTGTGCAAAATCCCTCTATTAATTCCTTGCATTTAACCACAGGAGTGAATCCATGTGTGCATGTATGACACTTCCATTTGGAGAAATCCTAAGGTCATGACCTACTTCTTACTGGATGCATAATAAATGCAGCTGCTGTAGGTGCATGGAAAGTACCTCGGCTCAGAGCAGATAAATGTGAGCTCAACATATTGTAATTTCTCAGCGACATAAAAACAGCAGCAAGACATGAGAATAATAAAGCAGATTTATTTGAACTTTACCAGCTATAGTAATTCAGCATCACACATTTTTTTTACAATCCGCCTGGATGTGTCACACTCTGCTGCAGCTCCGACCTTCTATTTCTGACAAAAACCCCTCTTCACTGACTCATTTCTCCAGTCGTGGTTTATTCAGTTTGTCATGCTTTTGTGTGTGTGTTGAAGCTGCGACTCTGTGCCACCTGCAGATGTTTCATAATAGGAGCATCAACAGTCAGGAGGGGGAAAGCCTTTTATAGCTTTAACCTCCCGTAGAGGAATGTAACTACGTAGATTTACTCGAGTACTGTAGTTTTTACCTCTTTACCTATAATTCACCAGCTTCACTGCAGGTTCATTTTGCATGCAAAACAGATGACAGTTCTATTAAAACATGTTGCTTGATTATAAATTAAGCTACAATAGAAAATTAGCTGGAGTGTTTTGTTGTTCGGCAGATAATTGGATTTCTTTTAGAATGTAGGGATTTGTTGCTTTGTGCTTTTACATTAATTAATTTTCAGGGTTTGTGAAAGTGTGGCTTTTCTCCGAATCAATCAGTTAATTAAGAAAACAATCAGCCAATTGGCAAATAATTTAAATATGTGTACGTCATTAGGCTGTGCATGTATGTGTCTTAATTATTAGTGTTGTTTTGGGCACTCAGACCGACATTAATCAGTGAATTATTTATAAATTAGCAGCACCTCAACCAATTACAGCAGTTAAATGCTGTCAGATTATGTAATGCTATAACAAGCGTGAGTCCATTTTTCTGAATGTATTTGCATGCTTTGACTCAGGATTTGAAATGCAGGAGTTTTATTTGCAATTGGTGATTTCCTTTTAGGTTGTAATGCATCATGAAGGGAAGAGATCCTGCTGTAATTCTCAGTATTTCAGATCCTGTTCCTGTTTGTTCGGCTGCACAGTGAGCTGTTGTTCTTCTGCTGTGTTTCTGCTGAAGGTGTTTTTTTTTTAGTCCTCGGCGGTTGATACTTGTTTGATTCGTAACGGACATCGAGTATGGATTCATAAAACACACCTTCGCGGTAACGACAGGCGTCGCCAGATCAGCCAAGACTGGAGTCTGAAGGATGCTACCTGAGATATGTAACAGAGGAGAAACGATCCTTATTTCTTCATATGTTTGGATTTAAAAACAGTGTTTGTTGATAACAAGGTTTGTGTCTCGATTCCTTTATGTCCAAGTGTCGTCAAATTGCTGCAGTGCTTTGACCAGCACATTACACAGTAGCCTGCTGCCACCGGTGCACTCGATAACAGGTGAATGAAAGGCAATACCATTCTGCAAGTTTTCTTTTGTGTTTTATTTAGACAAACTTCAGCTACAGCTGCTGACATTTAACAGCATCTGGGACATTTTTTTGGCCAAAAGGGGGCAACAAAACAAAAAAAGTAAAAAAAAAACCAGAAAAAACAAAAAAAAAAAAAAGTATTTTTAGCTCTGGTTTGGTCTCCACCAGCTCCTGACATAAATATCTGAAACTGCTGCTTTCTGCTGTAAACGCAAGTTATGTTTCAACACAAATGTCAAGCGGATTTTAAGCAAATTTGTGAAATTTTAAAAGACACAATTTGGGATTGTTTCCATTAATTGCCGTAGAACGATTTAACTAGACTGTGGTGTCGTCTGAAGGTGGCGCTAAAGGCTACGTTACATATGACGCGAGCGTTGAGAAAGCCAGAAACAAGACACGTTGTTTGCCAAGAAGAAGAAACAACAATTAAAACGTTATCCGTCTGTGAAACAGACATTAGAGAGATGTCTTCAGAAATCGTTTTCTGTAAGGAAAGTTAATAATTGTTTTATGTTGGTTGGTATCGGCAGTGTTTCATGCTGTCTGATAGTGAAGACAGTGAAAGACGCAGAAACAGCTGGTCAGTCATGTTAGTTTCATGTCCGCTATGAGAACTTATACACAAGTGGTGATTCCATGTCTCATTTTTCTTTTTTTTCTTTTCAGAAATTGGCAGTTTCTGTTAACTTTTTATAACGTGAAACCTTGAAATGTGAATAAAAATATGTTATGGAACCAGCTAGTTTTGGGTAATATTTATTTAGACAAAGTTTAGATACAGATGTTTTGTGTAAAGACAAGATTTCAATTCAGGTTTTTGTCAGCTTTGATTAAATTAGCATTTATGTCTTTTTGGCCACTCGACAAAAAAATGGCCTTATATTTCGTAAGTGCATTTTAGCTCTGGTTTGGTCTCCACCAACTCATTACAAAAGTACCTGAAACCGCAAAATTGCTCCTGTAAAAACAGAGACTGAATTAGCCAGGTGTTGTGTCAGAAAACTGAAACTGAAGCTTAAACCAATCAATCAAACTGCATTTATAAATCACTTTTCAAACAGTTCAAATGCAGGTCAAAGTGCTTCACAAACAAATTACAAAACATAGGATAGTAAAAGTAGATTTTTATACTAACACCTGCCAAAACAATAGAAATAAGCAGCTGAATGCTGCATTAAACTGAGTGGAACTGCAGAAAGATGTGCGTTCTTCATATAAAATGCTGATCTGTTCATCCATTTTCACCCACTTATGATTCTGGCAGCGGGCTAAGCAAGTTAGTCCAGACGTCCAGCTGCTCCTGGGGGACCCCGAGGCGTTCCCAGGCCAGATGAAATATTTAATCCCTCCAGATGTCTGAGTTCTTCACCCTATCTGTAAGCTACTTTACAGTGAGAGCTCATTTTGGCTGCATGCATTAGCAATGTCATTCTTTGAGTTTTCCCCAAGTTCGTGACCGTAGGTTAGTGTTGAAATGTGAATGTGGAGCTGGACTGGTGCAATCGCTGCATTGTTGGAGATGTTGCTTCAATTTACATGTTGGACAGAAACAAGTTCCCCAAGAAGTTTCTGTAGCCTGTAGTACTTGTAGAAACTCATTCCCAACCCAGAGGGAGCAATCCACCAGTCTCCAGTGTAGAACCATAGCCTTAGACTAAGATTCTTATCTGAGCAACTTCACATTCAGCCGCAAACCAACTATGATGAGTTTAGCTTTAGCTCTCTGAACACCAAAACCTGGTTTCAAAACCAAGTTTTCTTTTAAAAATCACAAAAATTACACCATTCATCGATGTCACAAACTGAAAAAACGTAACTTTTAGGCAGGACGTTCACAAATCCTGCGTGGTTCCATGAAATGAAATGAATGAAATGAAAAATGAAATGAAAATGAAATGAAAAATACTTTATTCATCCCAGAAGGGAAATTCAATATTCCATCTAAGTTAACCAAATTTTAACCTAAAATTGAAATATGTAAGTCACTTTAGTCTACATGTGTCATTTGTACCAAATCATATAAAAACCAAATGTAACTGTTAAGGCAGTTACGACTCAGCTTGCGTTCATCAGTCATGTGAAGGTAAAAAAATCAAATCTGACTATTCGACTGAACTGCAGGTTGTGTTTACACAAAGCAGACAGGAAACCGAAACTGAGAGGAAAATAAAACATGCTCGATCAATAAAACGGTTATTTAGCATGGTTTAAGTACAGCACACAGAGGAAGAAGTTGCTGGAAGATACATTCAGCATGGTGAAACCTTGTTTTACAACTGATTTTCTAGACTGTTTTAAAACGCCTGTAATATGTAAAGCAAGCGTTGTTCCCAGCATTGGTGACACTGACTCCAGATTTCTTCAAATTCAGTGCAACAAATAACTTAAATTTGACTTCTTTTCGTATGATTCATGGCACTATTACAGCGTCATTCTCCATGAAAGACACTGATGAGCTCTCTGTGCTGTAGTCATGGTTGTGCTGTTTCCACAAAGGTGCAGGACTTTGTGTTGCAGTGAGAAACAATGAGCCCACAGTGAGGAAAAACAACAAAGAAGAAGAAAGATGGAGAAAATTTGTTGCTATATTTCTCAGTATATTATATTGGGAATCATGTGTGGCTGTTGTTTTTGCAGCAGATGAAGAACTCCTGCCCTCAGCGATGGCCAGATCTCGCCACTGTTTGAGAATTAAGTCCTGCATGTAACCTGTCAGCAGGAAGCCCTGAATAGCATCTCCACTCACACTGTTAACCTCTGGGGTCCCGTTGTAACAGCTGTTACTTCTTTAACACTCGGCTGCTTCCTCTGCCTCTTGCTGAACTCCCGCCCCCCCCAAAGATGCCGCACAGTTTGCCATTTGGCAGACGAGATGCACCATGCGTCCTCTCTGCATTGTTTGTTGCAGCAGAAACTGGGGCAATTTTTTTTCCCCAAATCGCACGTTTTTGGCTGCTCTTTCCTTCCCCGTCGCCTGCGTGTGATAACACAGGTGGACTCTTCCCATGTGTGGTTTTAGACGGCAACATTTAAATATTCATCGCTTGCTAGAAGGTGTGCCAAAGTGCTGTGCTGTGAGGATCAACCTTCCTCGGCGGCGGCGGCACTTTGCTGCCTCGACCGACTCCACACTTAACCCATCCAGGAAGTGTGAAATCTGATTCAGGAAATGAAAAACGTCATTTACATTCGCTCGGAAATCCCTCAAGT